AATGATGCGCATTGAAGTAAAATTTTCCTTTTGAACGTTGGTTGTAACATACTGGCAAGCCCATTTCTTCACAATTATTTTTGACATGCTTCACCTGTAGGTATTCCATAAGTAGTTTTTAATACAATAGCTAATCAGATTGACAGTCTTCATAAGCACTTGATCGATCGATACACCTATTGTGACAACCTCAATAAATATGATAAATACATAATTATGAACATATTCGTTGCAATACTTGAGTTTCACAGAAGAGAGGAATCTCTCACTTTCTTCCCTACTTTATAAAATCCCCATTTCAACAAAACTTGTATTGCTAGTCGCAGAGATTGTAGTGTATAAAATATTGCAACGAATATTGCTTTCTCCTTTCTAAAGAAATGGGCGTGTCATTTTGTAACAGACGTTCTATAAGAACGACCAGAAGGTTCCATTCTAACGAATATTTTTACCACTTCATTGCGTATCTCTGTACCAAGTTCCTTTCACCTCACAGCGAGGGAGCCGCGTAAATCCTAATCAGAAACTTTCCACACAGCATGATGTCCAGAGCTTGGATAAGTGCATCTATTAATACCATAAAAATGGGCAAACAGGTTTACCAAGCAATGTCGTAGCACTGTATAATACCATTCTTTGACCATTGATGCTTGCAAAGTTAAACATCTCAAAAAATATGGAACAACATTTGAAACATTATTTCAAATAGTTGTTTTGAGACTTGCCACTTTTGCCAACCGCGATGCATATTGTCTGTTTTAGTCTCTTTTGTTCATTTCATTCCTGTTAAAAAGTCAGCTTTTCCCAAAGTGTACGGTCGTTATAATGCCCTTGTTTGTAAATACAACCTGTCTTTAGGTCGTATTTCGCCCAACGTTAGGTCATTGCTTTTATACCAAATTTGGCTATTAAGTACTCGATCCGTATACAGGTTCAATACATAGGGCTAATTTATATATATATATATATATATATATATTACATATATATATGACTACCACCTATAAGTTTATACTCCATTCAGTTAAAGTAAAGTTAGTAATTTTCTTTTAAGAACTAAATGTTTAGGAAATTTTAGTGTGATTCTGGATTAAATTCAACTAGCAAATGTATAAAATTTGGGTTAAACAAATGAAGAACATAGCCATATTTCATTTTAACAAACAGGAAAATGAGGGAGATCTCTGTGCCCTTTGGTACAAACTTTGAAAATCTAATTTAATTTCTGATATGTATTTACATTTGAAAATAATCAAGAATTCTAAATGCTTCTGATTTAGAAGAATGGAGTTTCTTACATTGTAAGAAAATTGAATTTTTATAGCATCATCATGTTAAGGTCAGTCAATCGATAATGGAGTGTTCTCTTAATTGTATCTATATTTATTTCTATATCTATCTATCTATCTATCTATCTATCTATCTATCTATCTATCTATATGTATTTAATTTTTCATTGGCAATACGGCAAATATGGTATTGTTTTACACGTAATAGAATGTGCTTTCTAAATTTAGATACTATACTGTAAGAAGAATTGAATTTCAATAGAAAGCATCTATCATCATGTTAAGGTCTATCCCAGTTAGTGTGTTCTCTTAATTGACCATAACTTTTTTTATTTTTCAATGAAATATGGCAAATTTGGTATTTTTTGTTATAGTATATACTTTCTAAATGTAAAAGGAAATATCATAAAAAGACTAATTTTCATAGAAAGCTTCTATCATCATGTTAAGAACAGTCGAATCGATATTGTTGTTTTCTCTTATTTGACCATAACCTTTTAATTTTTTCAATAAAATACATGTATGTCAAACCTGGTATCATTTTTAGCTCTACTGGTCAGAGACCAGAAGAGCTTATGTGATAGTAAGGTGTCCGTCGTCTGTCTGTCTGTCCGTCTGTAAACAATTTTACAAAACGCTATTCCTCCTACAGTTTTTGCCTAAATTCAATATGATTTGGCACACAAGTAGACTACACTAAGATACATAATTCTGTATATCGGTTTTTGATTTCAATGAACGTTGTTGCCATGGTTACTAAAAATAGAAATTTCTTGGAAATACTTTCAAAACGCTACTCCTCCTACAGTTTTGGTCTGAAATCAGTATATCTTGGCACACAACTAGACTATATTGAGATACATAATTCTGTTTATTATATAGTCTATAAATAGAACCTATATAATCTATACAAACGCAAACGGTTCATGACACTACATATTCACTGGATTTGAAGCCGTATTCACCGGAGGGTCAGTGTGCGTGCAGTGGCATTGTGACGTCACAATCAATACCCCAACGATGAAAACAATATTGTTACAACGGCCGGAGCCAGCTGTGTATCTGAGCAGGACAAATGTTAGGCAAGTCTATCCCAGGATTGTTTTCCAAACATTTCGATGTCTTACACACAGCGGAATGAAATCACGGAAGTTATAAGTAGTAATCTTACGTTGTTTTTTTTTTTTTTTTTTTTTTTTTTTTTAAATTTTCTACGATAGAGGTTCGTTCTTGAAAAAAAGATATCATCATGCAGCCTTCAATGTCTTATTCATTCAAATCCGGAATATATAATAAGACAATTATGTACTCTTTCGCTTTCGGTGGTTCGCCTCAGCCAATATTGATATTTTTCTGGTGAATAACAAACCATATTCACCACCGAAAGAGTCCATAATGGAGTCCATAATGATTGATTTTTGATTTCAATGGACGCTGTTGCCATGGTAACTAAAAAATAGAATTTTCTGTGAAAAAATTTCAAAACGCTACTCCTCCTATAGTTTTGATATAATTTTGATATAACTTGGCACACAACTAGATTATAATAAGATACATAATTCTTAGTATCGGTTTTTTGATTTCATTGAGCGGTGTTGCCATGGTTACTAAAAATAGAAATTTCTTGGAAATACTTTCAACATGCTACTCCTCCTACAGTTTTTGTCTGATTTCATTAGAACTTGGCACACAAGTAGACTACACTATGATACATAGTTCTGTATATCGGTTTTTGATTTCAATGAACGGCGTTGCCATGCATATGATTACTAAAAATAGGGATTTCTTGGAAATACTTTCAAAACGCTACTCCTCCTATAGTTTTGATCTCATTTCAATATAACTTGGCACACAAGTAGACTGCACTAAGATACATGATTCTTTATATCGGTTTTTGATTTTGATGAACAGTGTTGCCATGGTTACTAAAAAAACATACTTCCATGAAATACTTTCAAAATGCTTTTCCTCCTACAGTTTTGGTCCGATTTCAGTAGTACTTGGCACGCAAGTAGACTACACTAAGATACATAATTCTGTATATCGGTTTTTGATTTCAATGAACGGTGTTGCCATGGTTATTAAAAATAGAGATTTCTTCGAAATATTTTCAAACGCTACTCCTCCTACTGTTTTGATCTCATTTCAATATAACTTTGCACACAAGTAGACTACACTCAGATACATAATTCTTTCTATAGGTTTTTGATTTTGATGAACGATGTTGCCATGGTTACTAAAAATATATACTTCCTTGAAATACTTTCAAAAAGCCTCACCTCCTACAGTTTTGGTCTGATTTTAGTAGAACTTGGCACACAAGTAGACTACACTAAGATACATTATTCTCTCTACCAGTTTTGGGTTTCAATGAACAGTGTGGCCACGGTTACTAAAAATAGAAAAATAGAAATTTTCTTGAAATACTTTCAAAACGGTACTCCTCCTACACTTTTTGTCTGATTTCAGTATAACTTGGCATACAAGTAGATTACACTGAGATACATAATTGTCGTTATTGTTTTTTTTTATTTTGTTGAATGATGTTGCCATGGTTATTTATATCGAAATTTCTGTAAAAATTGTTTTAAAAGGCTACTTCTCAAACAGTTTTAGTCTGATTGCAATAAATCTTGCAACAAAAAGAGACTAAACCGAAGATCATTATTCTATTTATTTCTGTTGCAACGTTTCAAGTCCAAATGCTACTTTTATCTTCCTTTATAAGTACAACCTGTAGAGCTACAGTCTCGTCAGAGACTTTTTGTTCTTGTAAAAGCACATACTTTTTAATTGTTAAATGAAATATTGTAAAAAGACTTAAATTTTCATAAAACGTATCACTCATCATGTTAAGGACAGTCAAATCTATATCAGTGTGTTCTCTTAATTGGCAATAACTTTTTTGTTTCTCAATAGAATATGGCAAATTTGGAATTTTTTTCTTTCGATAGCCCACACTTTCTAGATCTTAAATAATATCTTAACTTACAGACAATTTAGAAATGTTAAAAGAGACAGACGACAGTTCCACACTCAAGGTCACGTCTAAATTATTGAAAATAGAAGGAACCTGTGATTTGAGAGTTTATTTCAGGGTAATAAATTACTATTCATATATGACTATGAATTCAAATATTCTCTCACTTCATTATATTTAATACACTGATATGAATATTTAAAATAAATAATATTAAGTTTCATACATGTAGTTATTTATTTCCATACAAATTGTATGACATGGTAATTTGTCTTAACTGTGATGAATTTTGGTTTGTACTGCTTTTTATAAGAAAAATATAGATTTCCCATCAACATTACTGTTGTTAAAAAACTGCTTGTCCAACCTTATGAATGCCCAAAAAAGTAACTGTCTTATTATGCTTTGCACCGGTCCCATCCTGGTGATAAATATTGCCTGGTCCCTTAAGGCTCTTTGGGTACGACTTTAATCCATTCCATTACAACTAGCTTCTACATAGTTTGAATGAAATCACAACAATATTATAAAAAACTTTATTAGAACAAAATTCTACATGATAAAGAAAAGTGTAAAGACTGATGTTAGTAGCTTAGAGACTATAACAATTAATTTGAATTTCTAAAAACAAACACATACACCCAGAGGACTGGATTAATTGTTTCTGAGTCAAGATAAAACGTCTCTTGTAGAAACAAATACATGACTGAAAAAAAAAACCTGAAAGCGAAATGAAGGAAGGAAAATTATAATATCGAATGTTAATTTGTTAATTAAAACTTTTGCATTATATCAACAATTAAAAATTAACGTTTCTATGATCGTGGAATGTACAGTGATTATATACTACTGCGCAAATGATTTAACTGGACATGTAAAACAATAAATCAAAGTTAGTACTCCGTAAAGATTAGTTTGGGTTCCAGTTCCACAGGGTCGTTGTTGTTGTATATTCATTAATTTGGCTTTCGGTTTCTTTCAACACGACGAATTTGAGGATAATATAGGCGGCAAGAGAGAGGATGCCGAGTCCAAGCGAGATTAAGGTCAGCCTTTTAGCCGAGTTGGCACTAGATTGCCCACCTTCGTAGTCACCCTCGTCGAAACGGCTTCTTGCCTGAACAAGTAAAAATAGCGAATTTATCAGCCCTTGTATCAATGTGATTGTGACTACCAATTAATTTAATCTTTAGATGTGTTTGTAATTTTTTAAAAGGTCTATTAAAAATTAATCTCATTACTTTTTACGTGAACGTCTTCTGCATAAACAGATCCATAATATGAGGGAAAAAAACTTTTTTCTTGTGAATATAATCTACTTCCAAAAGTTAAGCACCACCAAAAGATTGCTTTGTCTTATAAATAAGAGTGAGAAATATAGACACAAGTTGTAAATCATTATGTTATATATATATTGTCAGCGGTCATTTACGCTACAAATTTACTTTCTAAGGCGGAAATTCTTCAAAATCATACGTCAGTTTTAAATATTTTCTGTTCAATATTCCAAACAATCAAACTAAATTTGAATTACAAAACCTATACTGGATTCCTATACTACTTAATAATCCTTTCATACAAAGATACAGAACGGGTTAACGTTCCAGTAAATATTCCACAAAGCCTCTTTCTTAACTCCTCACCAAAATATTAACAGCATGCAGTGAATGAGAAACTCAGGAGTACTGTACAACAACATATTTGAGAAGCGGTATTAATTATATACTAGTAATCAGATTTGAATACTTAAAAACTCCGAGGAACTTTTAGAAAATCTGAATTCACAAAAGTTTACCAAAAACAATAACACCAAATATACGACTTTTCAACACTTTGTTCGACCATTCCTTTTTGACATCATAGACAGCTGCTTTTTCAATAAAAATGGAACTCACAAATTTACATACTTTGTCATTGATCATTTACAAAATGTTTTTGTTAAAAAACATTCTAACTGTACACTCAAGGACTCAAATGTTGATATTAAAGGTGCTTGGGCACAGATTTGAAGTTAATATTTTCCCAAACCTTCTGTATAATTTCATGACTTATATGTTGCTATAGCATTTCATACTAAAGTATGATAAAAATCTTATTTCATCTCGAAGTTATTAAAACTTCGGATTTCTGGACGCGTTGGACACATCCTTGCGCTTTCACATATTTTAACTTTATTCTTAATACTTAAGAAAAGTGACAATTCTGTTATGTATTAATGAAAAATATTAAAACTATAACCCAGAAAATTCAGAGTAGAAATGTTCGAAGGCAAAACCCACTCACAGTATTGTAAGTCAGTGCTTAGTGGTGTGTGCAGAGTTTAACAATTGAACACACCCGGTGAATCGTAAACATTAACAATTACAGAGCTCGTGCCCTGTTTACAAAAACAGTTTACATTTCACGGGTGTGTTCAACTTGTTAAACTCTGTACACATCACAGAGCACGGACTGACAATACTGGTGAGTTGGTTTTGCTTTCGAACATTTCTACTCTGAATTTTCTGGATTATAGATGTAATATTTTTCATTAATACATAACAAAATCGCTTCTTTCCTTAAATAATAAGGATAAAGTTAAAATTTGTGTAGGTGCAAAGATGTGTGTGTTAATCAAACGCGTCCCGGAATTCGTAGTTCCAATAATTTCCAGATAAAATAAGTTTTTAATTATATATTCGGGTGAAATGCTATTGCAGTATATAAGTCGTGATATTATACAGAAAATTTGAGAAAATATTAAGTTCAAATCTGTGTCTAAGCACCTTTAAAAAGATGCTAGGAGTTTCTGATTTACAATATCTATGAAGTTTTTGGATATCAAGTCTTCCATCAATCGATTGGAATTCCAATGGGTACTAATTGTGCCGTGTTATTAACAGACCTACTTTTGTATTCACATGAAGCAGAATTTTTCTCAAAAACGTTAACCTCTACATGAAAAATGAAGTCTCTTGCTGTGACCTTTAATTGGACATTAGATTTATCGACGACTTTTTTCAGTTAACAATATTCATTTTCATTCATGCGTTGATTCAATATATCCCTTTTAACTCGAAATGAAAGATATCACAGTTTCTGACACATCTGTTTTTCATTTGGATTTTAGTACAGAAAGACATTGATTGCAAACTTACTCCTAAAAATTATAATAAACGCGATGACTTCAACTTTTCTGTTGTTAACTTTCTTTATTTATGTAACATTATACCATTAACACCTGGATATGGATTTTATGTCTCTTAGTTGATTCGATATACAAAAGCATTTCCAAGTACAAAAAATTTCTAAAACAAGACACGCTCTTGACAAATAAGTTGATGATACAAGGATATCAAAAGCCCCATTTAAAGTCAACATTTTGCAAATTTAATGTTCGATACAATGACAATATTAGCAACTTCAAAATATTGTTAATTCGAATGTTGACATTGTTAGGCCATTTTTTTCTCACTGGATTTTCTACGGGCTTTTCCGTTCACCCGATCATGGCAAGGAGTACACGGCGGGTGTAACCGGCCGGCAGAAATTCTTACTCCTCCATCACACCTGATCACACTCTTATGTTTTTAGAGGTCAGTGTTTATCTGCTCCCATTTTGTTCCAATGAACTTATGAGTTTGATTACTCTTCGTTATTTTCTGATTTCATTGGATATGTTATAGTAAATGTGTAATCAGAAGTATAATGTATTTCATGAATTTCATGAAATACATGAAATTCCCACCCTGCTTGAGAAATACATTTTTTTTACTGTTATTAGCTAGGAAATACATAAATTTACTGAATTTTTCAATATACATTACACTTATTTACTGGTGGCGGTTTTGGTGAGATAATTAAAGTATGAACCACATCAACGAATTATGTGATATTTTTTGTTAGTCACAGAACACTGAAAGAGAACGACATTTCAGTACTTCATATCTGTACATGATGACAAGATATAATATCCTGTTCAGGTGGACAAAGTAACAATTCCGATTCCAGCTGTGTAAAGAGGGCGTGGAGACCCTAATTCATGCACATCGTTCAGGAGGATGGAGGTGTTTGTTTGTATGTTGTTGTTGTTTTTTTTTGTTGTTGTTGCTGTTGTTGTTCAAATGAAGGGCAAACCCTTTTCAAAGGGAAATAATATACATTTATTGCTGGTTTTTGAGGTCAATTAAATGATTAAGACACCTGAGGAGTAAATATTCACTGAGCCCGAAGGGCGAGGTGAATATTGTACTTCGAAGGTGGCAAAATCATCGTAATGACCGAAAGAACACAGCAGTGATTGTTTTATTATATGATTCAATGATTAAATGACACAAACTCATTATTTAAGCAATCCATGCCATCTTACTTGTTCACATCTACTGAAGTACTACATCTACTGAAGTACTAGCCGAAGATAATGAGAGAAACGGGGTTAAAAAAAACAGTTGTATTATTTTGGAATTTTTAATTCTAATTTAGGTAACAAAAAATTTAAATTCTTCCTCAGATCACAAGAACAGCAAAGCCGTGATAAGTCTTATCTAAATGGAAGCATCCTCAGGAAGTGTAGATTCGATTTTGTTCAAATGATGACCCGGGGGGTAGGTTGGGGCTACAATGGGGATCAAAGATTTACATAGGAATATATAGGAAGAAGAATCTAGAAGGGTTTTAGTTACCAGGTGAGCGTTGTGACCCATAGGTCTCTTGTTTTTTGAAGTATGGTAACATTTTCCTAATTATATATCTTCTTTTTTGCCTGAAGACGTAGTTGGAATCCACCCCCTTCCTCCCCCACCAAGTAACAGGTTTTCGGCGAATATTTTTCCTTTTTTGCTTGTCAAACTTTCTTTTCTGACTTCTTCCAACTTTGGGAAAAAAACGATGCTACGATGCTTTGTCTCCTCAGAGTGGAAGGAAACAGACATAATATTCTTCATGGAACACTATAGCAAAATAAGTTATTTCAACTTTCTGCACACTATCTATCAGCTCCAGATATCAATAAAGAAATGGATTTAGTGTTAGGGAAGTTTCTCGGGTAATGTCTATTTGGATGAACAATGCTTCACAAAAATATACCTGTAAAAGTGCTTGCACCAAAGGCAACTTTAACCTATATGACAGAAACTTATCTTCATATTTGTTACGCAAAAGGTTTCTTCTGCATTCTTCTGCGGAGATTCTTTGATAGTTTGGACTGGTGTAACAGATCATGGATGTACTTATTTACACATCATTGGTGGAACTCTAACTAATCAAAGCTACCTTGAAGAGACTCTCTGGTCTATTGTTCATAGCAAGAATTGTTCATGGCCTCATTAAAAAATAATCATTAACAGATTGTATTGACCTGCAAATTCTCCTTATCTTGATATAATCGAGCATGTGAGGGACATTCTGGATCAAAGGGTTTAAAGAACTAGTAACAATGCTCTGCAAAACGGCGACAAGAAAGGAAGATATTACAGAAGAACAATTTCGACGCGTGTGAAAATTATACAAAATGCTCTTGCATTGCAGCTAACGCTGGTTTTACACTTTTTAAAGTGACTTGAAAATATTCACCATGCCCACTTTGCGATGTCAATTTTTTTAAAATCAAAATCACATGCTAAAAATAATTAAATAAATAATTGAATAAATGTGTCAAAAAGCTTCGTTTTTTGTGGTGCTACACTGCTTTTGTAATACAGTAAAACTTGTCTAATCCAGATGCCATTGGTTCCATAAAAATTGGCCGGATTAGAGAACATTTCGGTTAAGACAACATTTTAAACAATGGAATCAACTGAAAGGGATGTAGGTTTACATCGTAATAGGAATGTTTTCACTCAACATGCTGGTAAGACTAAGACAAGACAAGTTTTACTGTATTAGATGTAAATATAATATTAACGTAAAACCGATTCCTCGAGAATTGAGCAGTATTCTGAATATCAGCAAATATATCTTGAGATTGTTGTACCTAATCGTAAAATCGAGTCAAAGTGAAGTTCCTACTCTGTCTTTGCATGTAAAATCATGTGTATGAATTACTTTCATAAAAAAAAAAATACAAGATAACATCATACATTTGAAGCTGCAACGATGGCACAGATCCCAGTAGGCCAGAAACAGCAGAGACACGAAAGAACGGCAGGCACCAGCCAGTCGTTTCCTCTTCGTGCAGCAACCACGTGTGGTGCAGGGGCATTGGTGACCTACAGGGTGACAAAAGCAACAATATACAATTTTTATTATGATTAGATCGCATTGTATTTATATCTCCCATGTACGATCACAGACTTACGATAACATTTGTTGATGATCTCGTCATCGGGTAACCATAAGCTGAAGGCTGCTGTTGTTCGTATGTGGGAAGTTGATCGTACCCCGCATTGTATGCTAAAAATAAAAGCATGAATGTCGTTGGTTAGATGTTTTTGATTTTGAATGTCTTTCTATTGAATAAAGTTGGTAGTTTCTTATAGAAAATTGTTTGATTTCTCATCCTTTTGTTTCATCTTGAAAGAAGCATTCTGAGAGCATTGAATAAGCAATACATGTCCCCTACCGGTATCCCCTTTTCTTTTTAGGATGTCATTTTGTAAGACCCTGTATATGAAAAGTGCCCCCCCCCCTCCCAAATATGGACATTTCGGTAATTACTTGTTTATGAATGAAATGTCTTGAATGAAGTCTGCCTTACCAAGACGTGTTTGATTGCCATTAGACATACATGTATGCTTTGGTCAGAACAGCTCATCTTACAAAATGCAATTTTTTAAAATAAATTCTTTTGAATTGTTGACAATTATAGTTGTCGGGTACTTATGCAATGCTCCAAATTGAACAAGGTATGGATTGATCAGATACCATTGAAAACTGTAGAATAGAAAATAAATGACTTCCTGTAACAGTGAACGCACGAGAGATTAAGGTGTTTTCGAACCCTTTGACAATAAAATCACATTATGTTTAAATAACAAGACTGTCGGTAAACACGTCTGCTTACGTATGGAAAACGTAAAACGTTAATCGTTGTTCTTAACTCAAAACACAAACCAAAAAAAAAAAAAAAAAAAAAAAAAAAAACCCAATTCAACTCGGGAAAAATACTCATTCTTTATTACATCTGGTGTTATTTCGCCAAGTATATTAAATATTCGCTGGTAGAAATTGCTGAAAACAATGAACAATATTACTTAGAGTCTTCTGTCAAAATCTATAACCTGAAAAGAAAAAAGTTGCGGAAAACCAAGTGGGACACACTGACATACAGACAGGCAGACGGACGGACGGACGGACAGTCGCAGAGGAAACCTATAGTCCCTTCCGGTTTCACCGGTAGGGGACTAATAATAGTAACACTTGGCTTGCATAAATTTGGTTATATGATACGATTTTCGAAAAATGTAAAAACATTAAAAAGAGCAAACTCCCTCCCTTCCTCAATCCAAATCTATATTAATGCAGCTTTTCTTGCCGTAAGGAGCCTGTCTATAAGCATATGAAACCATGGTATAATACAAAGAAAACGTACTGACTCTACACATTTAATGATCTAGGGCAGCTATTTAAGGACGTGATACATATTTCTTTATCTACAAAAATGCCTAATCTATACTTATAAATTAATAAATTTTGCAAATAAATGTAAGCTCCGAAACAGGTGCCCCAGAGTTCTTACTAACTCCTCTAAGAATACACTAGATACAAGATGATGTCCGTAAACTATATTCAGATATTTTTAATGAAACTGACAACAAGCAAAAGTTTATTTATTTCCTAAAACGTCATCACTGAATTATTCAATCAAAACTTGATTTAAATGATATAAAAGAATTAAGTTGTGATAACCGATTAAAAAGGGAAATGTGCAAATTAGCTTCCTCATTCACCAATCTTAATATAGGCGGAAACTTCTAGAACATTATATAGCATCGAGTCCGATGTTAAAATGAGGCGATTATAGCTGCATGAATATAAAAAAAGCTTTTGTGTAAATGGTCATTGAAATAATGGTAAATCATTAATAACACTATAAGTTGTGAATATAGTTATATATCAAAAGAAAATTAGTAGGTTTTCCTAATAAATTTATTGGTAAAATTAGTATTTAATCACTGAGAGCATAGTGGCAACGAACCCGAAGTACAATTTCTACTTCGTAATAAATTTGCTTACATGAAAAGAGAAAATTAATAAAAAAGGTATTGTTCAAATAAATTAAAGCTGTTAAAATTCTGTGTTTTAATCAATACATTTCATTTTTTTTCCTGAATACATTTTTTTGTATCAAATACTCGGCCTATATTCATAGGGCGTTAAAAGCTACCTGTAATATATGTTTACAAAAAAAAAAAAGAAAAGGGCAAAAAAAAAAGAAAAGGGCAAAAAAAAAAAAAAAAAGGAAAAAAAAAAATCAATTTATCATTAAAATGTGCATATTCGCTGCTTTTATCCTTGACGAAATGAAATAAGAGCACCTGAAGTACAATATCCAGAACATATTATAACAGGTTTCACAATGAACGTCAATTAATGAAAATGCTATTTTCCCAAGTTTTTAATAAAAAAAAAAAAGGGGGGGGGGTAACGTACATCTACTTCTGCTGTGCTCCAACGCTAAATGCGGGAATTTGAACAAAGTATTCCTTCCTGCTATAACTCTTTAGGTTGTCAGTAGAAACTACAATAAATATTATTGGAATTTTTCTGTCGGTAGTGATATAAATTCAATTCCCCGCGCTTGCGCGAGATTAAATCTAGTAGTATACGATTTATGTCGTGTAAATAAGGTTCCACATTTAGCATTAAATTTAATACAATGTAGTTTTTTCTTTCATTTTGAAAAGAAACAATTTTCTAAACTTTAGGCTTGATAAATGCAGTTACGAAATTTTGCCGTTCCCTGCGTGCCCTATTTCTGCCCCATTCCTCAATATGTGTTTATAAAATATGCAATTACTTCCACAGGCACTTGGGGTCTGGACCCCCCCCCCCTTTTCCATTTTTTTTCTTTTTAAATATGGAGTCGATTCACCTTTTTCCTATTTTTGTATTCTAATATGCACTATATGTTATCAATAATGTAACTCTTTTGTCTCTATATGCTGTTTTTAAATATACCGTTTTCGACTGATACATAAAAAGAGAGAAGGCTTGCAACTCTTTTCTCATCGTCTGCCTCACCTCGCTTAAACTTCGCCTGATTATTTATCGAAAGAATAAGAAAACATGGAATATGCATACATCAATAAATTCGTTATACATTCTTCTTTCTTTTCATATTTCCATTTAATTTTTATGTGCCCCCGATTTGTAAATATTTCGATTAAATCATCCGCATCTAGGGTAAAGGATGACTGCACTTAACGCCGGTTTTTGGGTCTTTTTCGGTCGCTTCTGTTGCTTTTATATCAAACTCTTATTTCATTTTCATATATTTATGAAAGAATCCTGTCAATTTCGAGCCGAATTTAAATATTACAATGATCTTAGACTGTTATACAATAAAATGATTCTATGTTTTCTGTCCTTACTCTTTCCAAGTGTAGAGAATTTACACTTACCTGCCCTTGATTAAACATTAGGTATGCATGAGAGGTGGAGCTAACATTGTAAGAATGGCTCTAAAATTAGACTAGATAAATAACAATGACATGTATTTAAAAAATACGAGATCACTCTTTCCCATTCCTTCTCATTCCCTCTTTATTCTGTATGGCACAAGTACACTATTTTCAGAGGTTTCAAAAACGAAATTAACAATATGAGCGACGTCCATGTAAGTAAAGTATCTTTTAAATCAATGCCTAACAATTTAACGTGTTCGAGCACTTTGTCCTAGTTAGCACAAAACATGCTACTTTACAAGTCACGTGACGGAATTTAATATTCACAGAGTTACCTGAGGTAAGAAATCACGTGGTGAATTATAATATTCAACATGTCACAGCCCTTGGTTACAATAGAGAGAGCGATGTAAGAAGAAGCAGTTTTTTCTCGTTTAAACCATGAGCGCATGTTTGTCTATTAATCTCCTTTTGACACAACATTGTTAATGCAAATATACAACTACTGTTAAACGGAGAACAATAGACAAACATGCGCTGACTATGTATAAAGTCAGTGAAAAGGTGGGCGTCCTCATTATCGTACGGAGATTCAAGGAATTGTGATGACCCCCGCCTTAGAAAACAGCTTCGTACTTCGTAAATACGTACTTTTATTTAATTTAATTACATAAAGTTGTAGATTAGATGTTGACCATTTGTGCAATTAAAAGAAAAATGCTTGTTTTGAAAGTTTATTTTGTCGCAATTTTCGCATGTCCTTAAGTGCAGTCATCCTTTTGTTGATGTGCACCAGCTGGGACGGAAGTGCCCGGTATTTTCGGGTATCATCATTACATGTAATGTAATTCGGAACATTAAATGCGAGAAGGAAAACATCCCGAATTTTCTCTTCATATAACATGTAACGGTAAGTTCTGTGAATAACAAGATAACTTTAACTAGAAAAATTTTAATGGATGAAGATTATACTTTAAATAGACGACCTAGACAACCAAATTCCACAATATTGTTATTACAAAGCCTGGAATTTTTTTTTAATGCAGAACATTTATAAAGTTAGAGTTACCGTTATTGCACTTCCGTCCCAGCTGGTGCACATCAACAAAATTTACCCTAGATGCGGATGATTTAATCGAAATATTTACAAATCGGGGGCACATAAAAATTAAATGGAAATATGGAAAGAAAGAAGAATGTATAACAAATTTATTAATGTATGCATATTCCATGTTTTCTTATTCTTTCGATAAATAATCAGGCGAAGTTTAAGCGAGGTGAGGCAGACGATGAGAAAAGAGTTGCAAGCCTTCTCTCTTTTTATGTATCAGTCGAAAACGGTATATTTAAAAACAGCATATAGATACAAAAGAGTTACATTATTGATAACATATAGTGCATATTAGAATACAAAAATAGGAAAAAGGTGAATCGACTCCATATTTAAAAAGAAAAAAAATGGAAAAGGGGGGGGGGGGGGTCCAGACCCCAAGTGCCTGTGATTACTTCCAAATACGATCTATCACAAAATGATTCCGCCATTGAACATTAGGATTCTAAGTTATCTTTCATTTGAATACGAAAGGGTGTTGAAAACTGATATTTCCTATCTCTATTTCCTTTTGGATATTTTGACCTCAGTGCTATTTGAACAACTCCGATAATGGAGTTCTAACATGAAACCCTCTTCCGAACGTGAAATATTGTCATAATTACATGTACTCATTTACAAGCAGAATTATGCAATGAATTGGGTATAATTGGATTTTTTTTATTAATTAGATGAGGGTAGGTTACCTAATAACCTTAACTACCGATACGTTCACAGCTGGACATGACGTGTGAGGAAACTATACAAAAAAGATATTTTTGTCCAGTTTTTAAACAGGCTTTTGTTTCTAATTTGGCACATTTTAAAAACTTTTAATCACGGTGACGATCAAATTTAAAACTACAGACATGTATCATCTTTTTTAAAGTAAGTGTCAGTCTGAAGAAAATGACGAGAAAAACAAAACCAAAGAAACCTGTAAAGCACAAAAAGGGTAAAGGAAAATAAGACAAAAATAAACTTTAAATTATTGGGATCGTAACGTCCATTCTGAGTAAGATGCGGTAAACAAATGTGAAAATTTACGCCAACATTTGTCGAATTTTACATGTCCCTTACAGGACCCTGAACCAATATAACCTAGGCAATGTCAAAGTCAATACTTTTCTCAATTTATTTGGCCACTGGCAAGGTAAAGTAACCAAAAAATTGCTGTTCGTTATCGCTCGGTGATCTCTTTTAATCACAAACACTTCTTATTTTCTTCTTGACAATTCTAAGCATTGTTAGATGTTTAATCTCTGCTAATTTTTATCAACTTAGCAAAATCGTACTTTCTGCATTCAATGTTTGAGATGTAAATAGTTACCGTTTATTATTCCCTCCCAATAAAATTGCAAAGGAAAAAACTAACTAATCGTATTTGTGTGTGAACCTTACAGCGTTGTTGACGCAGCATGAAAAGTATGTAATATTTTACATATTAGTCTCAAACTTTTTATAGTTGCTGATGACCAAGGTCCAATCACATTCACTGTCAAATGTCAAGGTAAACCTTAGCTTTGTTTCAAGATTATCATTTATCCATCTAGCGGTAGTCTCAAAAATGCAAAAGAAGTGATGAATGCTTTTCTATATATTCACTGCAATTGGAATTTCGAAGGGCGTTAAGTCAAGATATATAAATTCCATTAAATACAAATTCTTAAGGAGCTGAGGATATCTGTATATATATATTTGAATATATGATATATTTCAGGAAACTGTTTATTTCGTCAACGTTTGCCAAATCTTAGAATTCGATTCATAAAATGTCATGCTGCATCATTATAGATGTATTGAAGAATGTGGGACTGATGGATTCCAATCCTTTTCAGTGATCACAGACAATTTGTGTGTGAAATTTAAAAGTTGGACTTTTGTCAAGTGCACTCTTTTTATCTAAAACAAATTGATCGGTTTTTTTTCCCGAACAACTTGATTTATCTTCTGTATCTGAAGTATCATGTCCCCTTGTCTTGTCGAACTGAATTGTTGATTTTTTTTTTTATCGAGTTCAGTATTAATATTCACCTTTCTCGTTGTAACATGTACTATTTTAACTAAAGGTAGTAAACTCTTTTAAGAATACTCACAATCTCCTTGGAATTTTTGTCGGCTAGACATTTTTGTTTAAAATTTTTGACTAAAATACACAATGTAGTTCCAATTGTAAATTTCCTAAATTTGTGACTCTGACACAACCCAATGTAATTAATATACTGGCGTATGCTTGGTCATAATTATTTCACCCCTTTTGTACGTTTCAGGGTTTTCCGCTTTACCCGGAAGAAAATTCTAGTGGCCAAGTTTATCTTTAAATCTTTTTCTAGCACCACGAGATTCTGCATTCATGCAAACGAAGGTACCGAGAGTTAAATGGGCATGTAAAAGGTTTAAAAACCCATTCAATACAAAGCTCACACAAATATTAAAAATTGGCCTTGGTGTTCTGTTCAATTCTTTTCTTATTATTCTTTTTCAAAGTCATACTTAAACTTGAACCCTCGGCTGCATAATCCCTTGAACATGATACCTGCATATCTTAAGTTAGTCGAATTTAAATCGTAAGAAACGGTGCTCAATTAAAGACTACATCATTGTTTCCATTGTAATCAGATATCTTTTTAAATTAAAGTCGGTCAAGACCTGAAGATTCTTATGGAGATGAGTGATGTTTTTTAATATAAAGGCAGTCATTTACTAAAAATGTGTGTTCTGAAAGCTGAAAATACTCCTTGAAAGATGAATCGATATTAAAGATTCATGTAGGTCCTAATCAAGTAAAAAAAATTCTAGTACACATGAATAAAATTTTAAATGCAAGTGTTCCTCGTCAAAGATTTGAACATTCATGGACATTTAATTAAATACAGGATGATATAAAAATCAAGAAGTTGTACATTTAATTTAAGTCACTTTGTTATAGAAAATAGGAAGAGAAAAATCAGCATTCCACCAGATTGCCCTATTAAATGTTTTCATTTTACCTCTTCGAACACGTGGTTCTGGTTAATCTACGATGCAATATTTATTTATATTAAAATCAATTTAAAGTTATTTTTTCCTTTTTTCCCTAAAAAAAACACAAATATTTGAAAGATGTCCCGGCCCCGGGATCATGAAACATCTTAAGCTTAAGTCAAAATCTCTATGGTGTAATACAATGTTCTAGAAATCTAGCAGAACAAAACTAAAATATCTCTTTTTTCAATATTGCATTACAAAAGTGTTGTTATCTGCAAATTTAGAGATTAATTCAATAATTAATAAACATTCTACAGGCAATTGAAAATTTGACTTAAGTCTAAATCTGTTTCATGATCCTGGGGCCTGGTCACCGTCTCAGTAAAAAGGAGTAGTTTCTCACCTCATAACATGATACATATAATAAAAGGTAGTATGTGCCAATGTCTTACAAAGAAAATCGGCGCTTTAAGGATAAGGAGAGAGAGAGAGAGAGCAGCATCTCTTATGCATTTAAATGACAAACAATTTGTTTTCACATTACAATACGCGTTCATTCGTGTTTTTTTTTTCGGGGGGGTGGGGGGGCAGGATCGACTCCACCCGAAATTTGTATTCTGATAGAACAACAAAGGAATATAGAAACAACTTGCCTTACAGAATTGTAATTAGAAAACTATATTTCTATGTTTATTTTACAATTGTTTGTCAATGTGGAATGGAGAGAATAGATATCAGTGGACCTATTGATTTTCATCCACGAAATGCATGACAAAAATATCATTAGCATGTAAATTTAGTCTGACACCAGAAAATATAAATCCTATGCAAGCAAATTTTTCCAAAAGACATTTTAAAACATTACTTCAGAAAATAATGTCATCAAGAATACTTACTGATGTTTGAATGAATTCTAGAGAGATTAAAGTTCAAAGTAATGTAACAAGAAAATGCAAGCTTCCCAAGATGGAGCAGATATTAAACAGGGCCCTACAGCCGGGGATAGGATGGGGCCACAATACGGGATCAAAATTTGCTTGAAATACAGAATATAAAAAGACACTTTTGAAACTTTTTCCTGAAAAAAAAAAAACCGACCCCAATTACTCATATTCGTATGCATGTATTGCGAAGATTCCTTTTTGTTCAAACTACTGCCCGTGGAACTAGATTGGGGCTAAAACAGAAACTTGACATTGACATATATAGGAAATCAACTTAAAAACAGGAGTAGAGGGTATGAATAAATCAGACTGAACAAATATTATTTATTCAGGTGAATTCAGGTCTGTTTAGATCGTGAATGCTTGTGTTAGGGCGGAGCTAAAATCGGGGAGCAAATTTTATATAACACACTCAGAAAAATACAGAAAAATAAGTGAGTGTAATTTATTATAATACTATGCATTCCCATATACATGTACTTTGGGTTTAGGTTTGTATAAATCATGACCCCTGTAGCGCTAGCGAGGTTGGGGGCACTATATACGCTCAAATTTTTCATGGGAATTCAGAAGGAAAAAATCTGATGATGAAGAACAGCAGTGCCATTTCAACTCTAGCACTTTTTATGGGCCATGGGCGTCTTGTTTGATTTTGTTAGATAATGACTCATATACAAAATTTTACCATTACCAAAATCAATCACATCAAAACGTACGACTTTTCAACACTTTATACAACCATTCCCCACGATAAATTAAGATCCAGACTTTATGACATAATTGATAGCTGCTTTTTCAATATAAATGGAACTAGATTTACTTACCTTGTATTTGGTCATTTACAACATTATTTTGTTAAATTTCTCGGTACATGTAGCAATCCAGTCTCCATTTGATCAAACTCAAACATATTTTTTTCCTAACGGAAATTTCTATTTACACAAAAGAAAGAAAAACAAACTTCTACATAAGTTATTATCCTTTATTTTCATCTGGTAGTAATGGACTTTTGCGAGAAGCGCTGACTTTTAAAATCGACGGCTAACTTTTACACAAGGACAACATACGAGAGCTCTTTTGCGATATAAATATTTAGCTTAACAGTTAATTAAAAGATAATAATGAGCAGAAGATGAATTTAATGAATATTGGTAAGAATGCTGACAATGTAAAAAAAAAATTTCTGACCGTTTTGCTCTCTTCATGCTGTAAGGAGAACCCGCTTTCTATGATCCGTCGTTCTTGTACTCTCTCCTAATAGATCCTTTATTTCCTTTGTATTTGCTGTAAACAGGTGATTCTTTATCAACTGTCTTCAAGGATATTTCCTTAAAAATTTAACATACTGAGGAATCGACATTGTTCTTGAGGAGTATGTTTAAGACTACTTAGAACACTCTTACCCACGAATTTTCATCCCCACGAACATTTATTTTGTCAATGTATCGAATCATTGAACCTTCCGTGTATATTCGAGTTACTAATGAAAATACGTCTCCACGAACTACCAAAAGTTTGGTTGCCCAAGAACATTGACTTCCTCGAATTAAATGAAAAAGGTGAAGATAACGAACAGTGATCGATCTCAAAAAAATCTACAAACAATACAAATCTGTGAACAAGGCATAAAACACTGACCCCCGAAAATTCCAAAGGTAGGAATACGTGCCTTGGGGGAGTAAAAACCCCCTGTCGACCGAGGGCTGGGTGTTGGTTGGAAATTTCATATTGCGATATATTGCAATATTTGGAACTGTATTGCAATATGTATTGCAATATTTTTAATAACTGTTAAAATGCTCTTTTCATATTTTATTAATCCATTTATAAGCAAAGTTTATAAACTTCTATAAATACGTAGCAACAGAAAAGTTCTAGTTGATTTCAGTACAGTTTGGCAACGAAATGCAACCATACAACAGAAACCTTTACCGATCAGTACTGTTTGGGACGATCGAAACGTTTCTGATATCTTAAATTTCATAATTTAGTTTATAAACCTAAAGCCCAAGCATTTTGCCGGTACATCGGTACTGGAAAAACGTATCGCATACGATGTTATTTGTTAACGAATCGCAATATAGACCTATACTCGGCACTTTGGGCCATTGAGCAGTGAGGGATCTTTTTCGTGCCAGCACCTACTGCGACACGGGACTTCGGTTTATACGGTCTCATCCGAAGGACCGGTCTCCACGTCCCACAGTGGGATTCGAACCCGCGACGTAAGGATCAACTCCTTTCTCCGCGACTCTAGAGCAAACGCTCTAACCACTGCGCCACGCGGGCGGCACATGCATAAGGAAAGTTGACGATGGAAATTTAAAGTCATCTTGTTTGTCATACAATGTAGTTGTTAGTTTGCCCTTATTGTCTATAGTCAGTAAACATCTAAATATGAAACAATGATTCCACAAAAAATTTCTCTAGCTATCAAATATCAAAAGCTTAAAATTCTTTCAAAAATTGTATTTGTCTGGAGAATTTCCGAAAATCCCTAAAATCATGTGTAATAGACACTTAGGATTGATCTGCTTATACTAAATATTTCCTGATAAGTATTTCTCCAGCATAGAAATATGTCATAAATAAGCCGAAATGCAGTCGTTTTTTAGAGCATAATTAAAACATGAAAAGGCATAATTTACAATACCTCTGAAACAATAAACGAAAAATAAAGGTACTCTTCAATTTCCTCATATACTTTTGAAGCCACTAGTTTAACTTCCTCTTTTTGTAAAACATTAAGGATATTTCCTGCTCTTTCAAAATCGAAAAATGTGGCACCGAGAGATCAAGGACAGTGTTGAATGCGAAAGATTTGAGGTTAAAAATTATAAATGTCGGGAATTATAATCCAGATTAAGTTAATAGAAAAGCAGCAAAAATGACTCGCAACCTCAAGTGAATTTTTGTAAGCTTTGTCAGCAGACATTTCCTTGAGTTTGTTATTTCCTTAGAATACTAGAAAATCAACGTTTTCTTTTCAGGCCCGTAGAACGCAGAGGGGGGAGGGGCGCCCCCTCCTTTTTTGGAGCATAGTGATATGCTATAATAAATTTTCATTTAGATACGGATTGTCCCCCTCCCCAATCTTTGTTTTTGTAAATTCCAGGATCGTGTCAGTTGAGGAGGGTTTTTTTTTTTTGCTAGTCAGATTATTTTGAAACTTTTTGAAAAGCGTTGCTACACGGCTGCTTTACTTTCGATTTCAAATAGTTCATTTTTCTAAACATTAATTGATAAACATACTTTTGTTATATAAGAGAAATAC